ATCTGCAACTGGCTATGTAGTCCAGCCTGGCTTTGAACTCATCTTCCTGCTTCTGCCTCTGTAGTGTTAGAATTACACTGGTGTGCCACCATACTTAGCTTCTGAGTTCTAGTCTTTAAAAAAATTTTTTTTGGTCTTTGTCTTAGTTTGTTTTTCCATTGCTATGACAAAACACTGTGACCAATACCAACTTGGGGAGGAAAGGGTTTATTCAGCTTACATCTCCCAGGTCGCAGTTCATCAGGGAGGCCAAGGTAGGAACTCAGGGCAGGAACCTGGAAGCAGGAGCTGGAGCACAGGCCATGGAGGAATGCTGCTTACTGGCTTACTCCCCTGGCCTCTGCTCAGCCTGCTTTCTTACGCAACACAGGCCCACCTGCCCATGGGTGGCACCACCCACAGTGGGCTGGGCCCTCCCACATCACTCATCAAGAAGATGCCCCTTAGACATGGCACAGGCCAGTCCAATAGAGGCAATTTTCCAATTGAGGCTCCCTCAACCCAGGTGTGTCAAATTGACACTAAAGCTATCCAACAGTCTTTTTGAGACAGGGTCTCCCCATAGCCCCAGCTGGTCTCGAACTCATAGAGAGCCATTTGCCTCTGCCTCCTGAGTGCTGGGATTAAAGGTATGTACCACAATGCCCGGAGTTCTAGTCTTAACTAATTATGCTATGCTATTCCTCATGTTCAAATTCTTCATGTGACTTTTAATTTTTTTTCATGTGTATGGTGTTCTGCCTGCATGTATGTAAGTGTACCCTGTCCTATAATATTCAAGAAGGTAGAAGAAGGCGTCAGATCCCCTGGAACTAGAGTTACTGACGACTGTTAGCCAATATGGAGGTACTAGGAACAGAATCTGAGTCCTCTGCAAGAGCAGTCAATGCTCTTAACTTCTGAGTCATCTCTCTCCAGTGACTTCTCTCTTAAGTGACTTTCAAGCACAATGTTCCTAGTAGTTTTTAAACCTTTTTGGTTTTCAGCTAAGTTTTCTGTGTGAATAATTAAAAGTCACATTTCTCACCAAAATTCACAGTATTTTTAGGTAGAAGTTGGGGGTGGGGAGAAAACTCAACAAACGAACAAAAAATCCACCTACTTGTGAAAAAGCAGGCTGCTAAAATAAGATCTTTCTCAATTTTTCATCAAACATATCCAAATTTAGTTTTTATTTTAAAATATACCAAATAACTAATGTAGGCTGTGAGCAAGAAAGCATACACAAGCATATGTATTCTGCAGTTGACCCTTATCTTTCTTCTCTAAATAACAGAAAGTGCAATTTAAATTTTTGACAGTAATAAGGTGTTTTCCCAGACAAATATGCCTATCTTACTTCCTTATAGAGTGTCACAAGAGCTTGAAATGTCATACAGTATTTTTTCAACTCTCCAAATGAAACTGCATTATGTGGTGAGCTAGATAACAGTAAGCAGGGAGTTGAATGTGTCCAGATGATGCTTTACATAAGGAAAGCCTAAAGATTATCTTTCCTTTACCCTGTTTCCTTTTCCTTAGGATAAAGGGTTTAAATATAGCCAAATAATTCTATTTATTAAAATTTTCTCTCATCCTTGAAGCTCAAACTTAAATTTTACTTTCTCCATAGGATTCATTTCTATAATCAATAATCAATTGTCTACAACAAAATAAACACTGGATTGGGGATGCGGTTAGTGGTAGAGGCCTTGGTAGGATGTTCAAGACCCTGGATTTCATCTTCAGCACTGCAAAAATGACTAAAAGTAAGAAGAGGGGCTGGAGAGATGGGTCAGTGGTTAAGAGCACTGGCTGTTCTTGCAGAAGACCCAGGTTCAATTCCTAGCACCCACATGGCAGCTAACAACTGTCTGTAACTCCACTTCCAGGAGATCCAATGCCCTCTTATGACTTACAAGGGCATTGGTGACATGGGTATAAAGAAATTCAGGCAATATACTCATAAACATAAAATAAAAACAATAAAATATTTTTAAAAATTTTAAATATTATCTTCCTCACAGAACACTGTTCTATAACTTTCATGTTTTAGTTTAGTTTTGTCTCTCTAGCAAGAACATAAAGTTTGATATCTAGTGCTGCGGGGGGGGGGGACAATAACCCAAGTCAAACCCCAAATAAAACCCCCTTTTTTAGCTCAAGAATATGAATGAACTTTTCGGATCTTCGGAAGTCTTAACTGATCATACTGTTTAATACAAGAAAAAATTTCTACAGTGCTTAACATCAGTTTTCAAACTCAAACTTATGACAGTTACACAGTAGATTGATTTGGGAATGTGAATGTTGCAGAGTATAGAATATCATTCAGTGAAAAAATGGTGAACATAATAAATGATAGAAATATTCTATTGATGCTTTCTCTCTCAGAAGGCAAAAGTACTATTAACCCCAATCTCAACTTAATAGAACAGAACTCCTCTGTGAAGTGGAAGAGGAAGAACTACAGAAGAAAATCATGACATCTGTGATACTCAGGAAAGAAATGAGTACCTCAATGAGTTCAGAGAAAATGTAGGGAAGAAGATTTCATAGGAAAGAAGAGTTAGAGAAAGATGACCAGAGCAAGCTCTCCAAGTCCCCCTGCACAGTGCAGGCCTAGAATCCTAGCATGGAGCAGGCTGAAGTAGAAGTTTTGGTAAGTTCAAGGCCAAATTAGAAAATCCCATTTTAAAAATGGAAAATGAAAAAAGGGCAAAGAGGCTGAAGAGATGGCTCAGATGGTAAAAGGGCTTGCTGTACAAGCCTGACAACCCAAGTCTAGATCCCCAGAACCTACATAAAATCATGTGTCTGCTCTATAATCCCAATGTACCCCCTAAAGAGAAATGGAATGCAGGGCCAAAGTATCTCCAGAAGCTTTCAGGCCAGTTAGCCCGGCTTGGCAGTGGTGAACAAGATGGAAAGACCAGGTAAGGATGTCTTTGGATCTCCACACACATCCTGCGGCCTGTGTGTGTGTGATGAACAAGAACCCACGAAAAAACTCATGTATCATACTCTCTCTCTCTTACACACACACACACACACACACACACACACACACACACACACACACACACACACACGGTTGAAGATACAGCAGTTTTTCTAGAATACCCACCCCTAGGTTTAATCCCTAGTACTGGGAAAAGGGGAGAGGGAGAAAAGATCCACTCACAAATGAATTATATCCAATCATTACCAGCATCAAATCATATGCAAAAGAGCTCAAGGTTCATGATGTAGGTTAAACTAACATCCTCAAGAGTACTGAAAATATTTGTGACATGTGCGTGGGGCTGGAGAGATGGCTGAGGTTAAGAACAGTGTTCTTGCAGAAAATCCAGGTTCGAATACCAGCACCCATATGACAGCTAATAACTCTCTGTAACTTCAGTTCCGGGGGATCCAACACCCTTTTCTGACCTCCTCGGGCACTGCATGACACAAGTGCGCTTATATATATATATGCAGGCAATACACTCGTACACATAAAATGAAAAAAATAATCAATAAAATATTTAAAAAAGAAACTGGCATGTATGCTGGGTTCTGAGGGAGTAAGTTTGTCAGGCGATGATCATTAGATAACTTAGAAACTTTACTTATTTCTAAATTATTTATTTATATTATATGTGTATGAGTGTTTTGCCCATGTTTGTAAACCTTAGCGCCTGTGGAGGCTGGAAGAGGGTGTCTCTAATCCCTTGGACCTGGAGTTACTTACTGATGGTTGTTTGCTGCCCTGTGGGTGCTGAACCCTGGCTCACAAGCAGTCAGTGCTCTTAACCACTCCCATTTCACCAGCCCCAATTTAGACACTTAAAAAACTACAAAAGAATTTTGTTATGCTTCTCTTTGTCATATTTTGTACTCTTAAAAAAAAAAAAGAGTCAGCAATAAGAAAATCTCCTGAAAAGGAAAATTACCCTACACCTGGACTAAGGACATTTCTACTTACCTAGAAAATTCCGATCCAAAAATATACTTAGGATTTACCTTGATAAGACAATGTACTCTTGGCAGTCCCATTACATCTAAGTTAGTAATTTAAGTCTTTGGAATCATTCAAAATTATAGACACCTAAAAAAAATCAATTAGGCTACAGATTGAAAATTCAGTATCAGTACTTGTTAGTAAATTTCAGTTGGCCTCACAGAGCACACAAAAATATTAGCATTAGTGTGTAGAAAATCTGATGCCTATTACATGAAGAATATAGAAAACTGTACAGTACGTTTAGCTACAGAAGAGCTTATACATAAATAATGAATGGATCAGTGGTAACTCTGCTGCTAAAAATGATTGTAGTGGGGTAAAAGAGTAAATCCCTACCTTCTGAGGGGAAAAAAGTCCTTCATAGTGGTAGCGTGGTGAGACAGAATGCAGGCAGAAGATCCTTTTAGTGTTTGAATACTACTGAAATTGGGGTAGTAAAAACTGAATTATGTGGCAACTATTTAAGTAGAACAAGTTTTATGCACCATTTCCTTCTTTTTTTTATTATTCTATATTCATTGTACATATTAATGGAAAAACCAATTTTGGTGTGAGAAATCTCCCTAAGACAACAGGTCTTAGTGCACCTGCCTTTGGCAGAGAGCAGCATTTCCAGTTCCTTTCTTTCTCTTCAGTGAATCATAACTACTGAGAAACATTTCCTGGTAGTGTTAGAGACTCAACAGAATGGGGAAAAAGGAAAATTGCTTGGAGCAAAAAGCTTAAGCAATAAGGAAGCCTTTTAGAGTGCTGTAACAGCCAGTAAAACTGGAAACTCTTGATGTTATGGGTCCTGACACCTAGAGGGGAGGCAGGAGGAGACGAAGCATCAGCTCAAATTGGAGGAAGAAGAAACAACCATCACTGAGAGATCCTTTGGCTTCCAGTGCACAGACCTCCATCCCACCCAATATTCTCTAGCGTCCCCAAACACAGCAGCCGCCCACAAAAGCCCTTCACAGTAACTGTCAATCTCTACAAGCTAGTGCGGGAGTGCCAGGCTGCATCTACTTACTGAGCTGTCCTCCGCCCGAAGTCGTACTCGGTTCGCGACCCGCAGCGCCTCCAACGCCGGATGCTCCAGGGATGCCGGGGGCCCCCAACCCCGGCGGGGTTCCACTCTGCCTCTCAAAGTTGCCGGGATTGGAGAAGTAGTCGCGCAGCCGTGGCAGCTCGCGGCCGCTCTCCAGTAGCTCTGTGTGCAGCTCCAGGGCAGTCAGCAAGAATTGATCGCGCAACAGCTGGGCGGCGATGGCATCGATTGACAATCGGGCCGGGGTCTCTCCGCTGCCCCCCAGGGTCAGTGGAACGGCGACCGTGTCCCCAGGGAGGCCTGGCCGCGCGCCGCTCCCCAGGGCCAAGGGGTCCTGTGGCGACAGCGAGCCCGCAGAGCCAGGATCTAGGCCGACACCCGCACCCAGTCGAAGTCCTGTCCTCCGCTCCTCGGTCGCCGCTACCTCGTCGTCGTCCTCATCGGAATCGCTGAGGAATGGATTCACACCACCGCCACCGCTACCTCCACCTCCCGGCGCCATCGCCGCCATCTTACCCCTGTCAGGAGTGTGGGCGCCTCCCTGACTGGCTCCTACAGGCCGCAACCTGAATATTTGCTTGGACTTAGGAGCCACGGAGCATCTACACAGCCCTGGCCGGACCACGTCCCTCCTTCCCACCTAGCGACCAGGCCGGGGCTGGGAGACAGGAGGGCTTGTATACAGCAGAACCTGCCGCCTCAGCCGCCGCTGCAACAGCAGCCGGCTCTGTAGGCGTCTTCCTGGTCCCCCATCTCGCGAGAACTGGACGTACCCCGCCCTCGTCCCGCCCCGCCCCTGTCCACCCCAGCCCCGCCCCTCTCGGCGCTAGAGTCTCGAGATTGAAGGGCCCGCGTGGAACCCAAAGTCAAAGGTCCGCCCACAACTCCTCCCGGATTGGCTGGAGTTACGGGGGCGTGACCCGAGAGTTATCGCGAGATATGCCCGGGCCTGGGGCGTGTCGGGGAGGTTCCGCTGTGGAGGCGTGGATGTGGAGGTGGCTCTGGGATATCCTTTCGGCTGTGGTTTGACTGGGCTGAGGGAAACCCTACCCGAGACCTTTCTGGGCCCTGCGTCTTGCCTTCGTGCTGAGGAGGCCTCGTTCTTGAAATCGGGCCTGACCCGGAGAAGCCCCAGGTAAAGTCCGGGGACCTGCGCCGTGGTGCTGTGGCGCTAGCTCGGTGACTTCATGTTCCAGCTCCGTTCACAAGCTTTCCTTTCTGCCGCTGTTTACTGTCACTTTCCTTTGCCCCGCGAGACAGCAAGCGCCCAGGACAGTAGTTGGAAGGCTTCCTGTCTTTCCTAGTTGCTTTCCGATCCTGGAGGCCTAGTGAAAGCACCGCCTCCTTGCAGTTCCAGTGAGGGTGCCTTCTCGCGCGGGAGTTAGACCTGGAATATTGCAGGGTGCAGGTGGAGCGTGCTCGGAACGCTTGGGTTTCGAGTTGTCTGTGGACTGATCTGTGAACAGCCTGGACTTGGACAGCAAACTAAGTGCTCTGGAAACCCTTGGTGTTTAATGTGCAGTTCACAGCACTGGAACTTTTCAGATTATTTAGCACTGTCTTAGCAGTAGAGGTGAGCAAACTCAAGCCTGGACAGCTTCGATGACCGGGTCAGGTTCACTCCACTAATACACATCCAGTGCAAATAACATCACCTGTCTTATGTCCAAAGCCCTTCTTTTGCCACAATGTTCCCCAACTTCTCTGAGTTATTAATTTAGGCTAGAATGAAGGCTTTGATTGTGGATCTTTGCCGTTTTTAAAATTGGATGCAGTGCAGAGACTTGATTTCCTTTATGCAGCCTTAGCACATAAAATGAGCATATTCATAAGTTTGGAAGTCAACAAAACTTAATCTTGTGTATCACTCCTTGATTACAGACTGAGGTGATAAAGGAATATTTTCCCTGCTATTTGACTACTATTCCTGGTATCTTCTATTTTGTTACAAACTGCCACTTTTGCTGGTTTTAGATTTCTTTTCCTACCTTATAGTTTCTTACAGGCACCAAAACAAATAAGCAACGGTATTTATGATCACCTGCTATGTTATGTATTACATGGAAGCGCCAAAGTGTTTCCTTAACTTTGTGGAAAAATTAAAATAAAGCATTGTTATATAACTTTAGGCCAGTTATTGTTTAAGTGTAGGATTTAATTTCAGTTTCATCAGTCTCAATAAACTAAAATTTTCATTTGAATGAGGTTTTCAGAGTTTTGTTGTTGTTGTTATTGGTGGTGTTTGATTTGTTCCTAGACGCTTTTCTAATAGTAGTCTTATATGTGATATGATGTGGGAGGGGGAAGTCGGGGATGTGAAGTGGAGGGGAGACCCAAAGGGAGCCTGCTGTTTTGTAAGTGAATCAAAAAATAGTGTTAGTACTAAGAATGTATTTTTTTTTACATAAAACTTTAGCTTGTAATGCTCTTCTGTGCTATTTATTGATGAATGGGTTTTCCAATATTTATGGAAATCATATAAAATGGCCAGTATTCTGTTTCATATTTCTTGGCAAAAAGGATTATTTTGATTGAGTTTGCCAAATAGATTGAAAATGGAACCAATTTCTGAAATAAAGGAGTGAGGATTAATGAATGGCACAAAATATAGAAATGAATAGAAATGGATTGTGCTCTGTATTTCCATCTTTGTAATGGTGAATTTTAGAAGTCTATACTCAAGGTTGCTGAGGAGAATTGTTCCTGGCAGAAGTGCCTAAGTTGAATCTCAATTATATACATTATTCATTGTGAGACACTGAAGAAGTTTGAACCTGAATTCTCTCCACCTCACTTACATTTCTCTGCCAAGGGGGATAATGAAAGTACATAGAACTGTGAATGTTCTTATCACGTAACTGGTTGCTGGCTGGCAGTAATGTTAGTATGGTCAGTTATTAGCTAATAACAGTGTTACTGTGTTATTGCCAAGAACAGGACACACACACACACACCCCACAAGCAGATGTTATCAATTTTATTCTTGTCATTTGCATTAAAAATGGGTTAATCCTTGTTGCTGCCAACAAAAATGCAAAACATAAACACATGCATATTCATAATTGTTTTGGGTCAAGGGCAAGGAAGGATCATGAGGCATTCAGACTGTTACAGGTTATGAGAGATGCTCAAGGCTCAGTGAGTTTGTGTATAACAAGCTAAGATTAACTTTTTGGTTGCATGATTAAGGAAAAGTCTTTTGTCCAGAGTATGTCCATATTGTAAAAGTCATTCCTATAAAATATTATTGGATATTGAAAGCATTTGGCCAGGTTAAAAAGCAAATATAAACCGTTTAGCAGATAAAACATGAAAAAGCAATTATGTCAATAGGGTTAAAAGAAGCAATATCTTTAATTTAGGATCTGAATTTTAAAGCACAAATTGAAAATAGATTTAAAATGTATCCCTCAGGGTTGTAAGAAGTTGAATGTAGATGTTCTTCCGTGGCTGACTTGATCTACACATCTGTAGTTAGGATGTCTAATTCCTTATCTGTAACCGTTGGACTTATCTAACTTTGTAAATCCTCAGCAAATCAACTGACAATTTTTCCAGTAGGGTCCTCTGTCTCTCCACATCATGCATATGTAGTTTTAATTGTTGATTAAAATGCATAAATAGAGTAAATACTAAAAATTTCTGATCTCTACTTATAATTTATTAATAATATTGGGAAATTTTATTTCTCCTTTGGAAGATTTACCCATATTGAAGCCTTTTGGCTAATGTGTCATGTGACTAATGGTAGTAATTGAAGTTTTATCTTAGCAATAAAAATGTAAAAGATAGCTTCTTTTCCAAGCATTTCCATTATTTTTGTGTTAAAAATTGTTTTTGGAGACGCCCATGCCTTTAATCCCCACACTCAGAGGCCGGGAGAGGCGGACTTATTTGTTTGAGAACAGCCTGGTCTACATAGTTCCAGGCCAACTAGGACCCCATAGTGAGACCCTGTCTCAAACACTGCCCAAATTATTGTGGAATTTTGCTCTTTTTTTTTTTTTTTTATCTTTTGAGTCAGGGTCTCCCTGTGGCCCCAACTCACTATGTAGACCAGGCTGGCCTTGAACTCATGGAGATCCACCTGCCTCTGCCTCCTGAGTGCTGGGATTAAAGGTGTGCACCACCATACCTGACTTTATTTTAATGTTTTGATAGCTGTAAAATAACCACAAATGACAAATGCAAATATTTGGTTGGTTTAATGCCTTAATGGTATCTAATTAGTTTTTAGTGTATGGTAAATATCTCACAGGTGTAAAGTAGATAACTTTTATAGGTAAATGAATATGTCTGTTTTAAGTTTTATTAGTTATTCACTCATTTTTGGGTTTCCAAACAACTATGCCAGTGAAATTTTCTTTTGAAATAAATGAGAATAAAAAGTGATTACCTTTAAAGAGAAATATATAGAAATACTGCTTAATACACATGGGCTTGACTATAATAAAATAAGTATCATAAATGTTGATTTTTTAAGTCATTGCAATTTGTGTATAATAAATTATTAAGCATAAAACACGGGCTTTTTGTTTATTTTTAAAGTATCTTGAAGCTAAAAGAAAAGTACCTTGAAGCTACACAAATGTATTCCAGAAAACCCCAAAATAGAAGCAAGGTGACCTCTAGCGGCTATAGTACATATTGCCTTTGAAATGTATCCCTAAATGATTTATTCATCAGAATCCTCACTAAGTGCATAGAACTATGGTGGATGCTAATGATAACATTTCCTGCTATCATGGAATTATAGTGAAGTGGCAGAGAAGACATTAAATCATCAAGACATAGTCATGTACTTTCAAACTAAAGATTATGACTTCTGACTTTGCAGCATAGTCCCTGAGGATACAAGGCTTGAAAGGGACACTAAGAGACAGTGGGATGGGATAGAGGAGCAGTTGAAAGTGCATCCTATAGAGGTGGTGTGTACCGATGAAGGTGTTACAGCAATGAGACGACAGGGTGCTTAAAAGAACAAAAGTGCCAGTGAGGTGAGATAATCATACATACAGGACATGAGACAAAGCTAGAAAAAGAGGGAAGATTGTTAGTCTTGGTGATGCAAAGTTTATTACAATGATTCAGAGCTAAGTTTTTATTTTAAAAAAACAAAGTAATACTGTGACTAGTATTAAGAAATGGATTAGAGGGTGGTTGAAGTGTAGGGGGAGCTTTTGATGCATGCATATAGTTTAGGTAAGAGATGAAATGTATACATGATACACTATGGGGTGATAGTGGAGTGTAAGACAGATGAATATATTCAAGAAACAAAGTAGACACAATTGTTAAATCAAATATGGGAAAAGAATATGATACAATGAATGAGTGACTCCTATTTGACTTGCATATGTCAGTACAAGGTGGCGACATCTCCTGAGATTGTGAAATTAGGGATATGATTAAACATGCCAGACTAGAACAAACACTGGTGAGAAGATAGCTTAGGGCCAAGTTTTGAGTAACTCCAAAGTTCAATAACTGTAGTGAGGTGTCTATTTGTTAAGGAAAAAGGTGGAAAATGAAAACAGCAATATTCACAAAAGCTAAGATATGAAAGCCTACTTAAAACTAAGTAACCCCAGCATCACACACATACACCTTTACATATTTTTATTCATTTTTATAGAATACATCCAGCTCGTAGATACAGCCTGGTTCATTTTCAGTGCAATTAATATTTTATTATGAATAGGTGTTTTATCAGTTCTCTCTTCTGATTTTTGTTATTACAAAAAGCAGAATCAAAGATTTGAATTTAAAGGTCTTGTGTTCATTTCTGATGAAGTATTTGTGAGTAAATTGGAAAGTAATAAATTATGCTAATTATTAGCAGTTGGTTAAAAATATGAACTTTGATCTTTATCTGACACCATACATTAGGATTAGATAAATCCTAATGATGAAAATTGAAAACCAAAAATCTAAAACTTTCAGACTGCGTATTACCTAAGAACAAAGAACTTTGGCTATGAGAGTGATCTGGCTATGACATGTCACCCCATTGATTACTGTGGTTGATTTGGCTGGCTAGGTGAGTGTCCCCTTCCTCCGTGAGTGTTCTATGTGTGTCCCTCCTGATGCTGCATATGAGGTTGAAGAGGCTGACCTTCATTCGTCCATCAAGAGTATAAAAGCAGCTGCATTCCCCTAGTAGAACCTCTAAAGAAGTACTCCAGGTTCATTTGTAGGCAAATGTTAAGAGTTAAGCTTCCAAGAGTCCAGATCCATCCCAGTGAGGCACACTGCATGCAACATTCAGCTTTCTCCCTCCCTCCCTCCCTCCCTCCCTCCCTCTCTCTCTGAAAAAAGAAAACAAAAACCTCCAGAAAGAATGATGTTGAATTGTGCTATATTGATTTAAAACTTCATCTTAACAAAAAGCACGATGAATAAAATTTATGAATATGTATCTATACACACGCGTTTCTTTCATATCCACAGGTTGTGTATCTATGGAGTCAACCAACTGCTGACTAAAAACATTTGAGGGGAAAAAATGTGTCCAATACTGCACATGCACAGACTTTTTTCTTGTCATTATCCCTTAAACAATGCAGTATAAGAGTCATTTATATAACGCGTATAGTTTTAGATGTTATAAGTAATAACAAAGATTAAAGTATAAAGGGGAATGTGCACAGGTTATATGCAAGTACAGTACCATTTTATATGACAGTCTTGAGCATCTGCAGATTTAGGTATCTTGGAGGATTGGGAAATGTTTGGATTCTGAAAACAGTCTCACAGATACCAAGGGATGACTGTGATTCTTTTTGGTTAGGGTTGTGGAGTAGACATCAACTGGAGAGACACATGCAGGAACTTAATGAATGTTCTACATCTTAATGATGGTGGTAGTTACATCAGTGTATATTTTTCAGAGGTTATAAGACTTAAAATGGCTCCATTCTGTATATAAATGTAGTTTAATAATATTAATTGAAAATTTAAAAAGAGTCCACTTATGAATGCACCAGAAAAAAATTAGTGAGACTATTAACGTTAGAATAAAAAGTTGGAATAAAATAAGCTGCAGAGATGGCTTAGATGTTATGAGCACTGGCTGCTCTTACCCAGGTTTGATTCCCAGCACCTACATGGTGCCTAATAACTTTGTAACTCCAGTTCCAGGGGATCCGACACCCTCTTCTGACCTGCACAGGCATTGCATGATATGGGTGCACTTACATACATGCAGGGAATACACATAAGATAAAAATACTAAGTAAAATATTTTTAAAAGCGTAATACTTCAAGTAGAATGTACAGTGAGCCAGTATATCAGAAAGAAAAGCAAATGTGTGGGGCTAGTAGATCTCTTTATTGGGGGGGGGTCCAACCTTTTGACACTGTGACACTATATTGTCATCTGCAAATGTGGTAGGCAGCATTCATAGCTACCCTGGACACATGTGACCCATGGTCCACAGCTTAGACATGCTTGCTAGGTCATTATTTTAGTTACAACCTCCAGAGTTTCACAACTCTTTATGTTACTATAGCTTTTGAGCCTTTTTTTTTGTTGTTTTTTTCTGGTCTTTTTGAAGCAGGGTCTCCCTGTAAGCCCCAGCTGTCCTGGAATTCACTATGTAGACCAGGTTGGCCTTGAGCTCACAGAGATCCGCCTGCCTCTGCCTCCCAAGTGCTGGGACTACAGGCGTGTGCCACCACACCCAGCTTGAGCCTATTTTTTAAAAAATATTTATTATTTTTATTTTATGTGTATGCATGTATTGCCTGCATGTTGGTAAGTGCACTTGTGTCGTGCAATGCCTGCAGAGGACAGAAGAGATTGTCGGAGTTACAGATAGTTGTTAGCTGCCATGTAGGTGCTGGTATTCGAACCCGGATCTGCTGCAAGAACAGTCAGTGTTCTTAATCTCTGAGCCATCTCTCCAGCCCCTTGAGCCTCACTTTAGTATGTTGAAAAAGAACTGTTCAGCTGGGCATAGTGGCTCACATCTGTAATCCCAGCATTTGAGAGACTGAGGAAGGAGGATTAACAAGCTTGAGGCCAGCCCGGGCTTTATAATGAGTTTCAGGCTAGCTTAGACTAGAGATCAAGACTTTCAAAAACAAAAACAAAACAAAAAACCTGCACAATACGATTCTCATTGTTTCTACTAATAATGCTAAGGTAATCTGTTCTTTCTCTAAGTTGAAGACTACCAGGTCCTCAAGTTAGAAAACTGGAAGTCATTCTTTTCCACTTTAAGCATATCCTTTTATCAAAACCTGTCATCTCTGTCTAAAGTATAACTTATTCACTTCTTTCTCCCAACTTCCATTGCAGCCACTTATCCTAATCAATAGTAACTTCTTTACTAACATATCTAGTTTTCTAATAGTCTCCCTGATTCATCTTTATCAACTACAATCTATTCTCCACATCTAGCCAGTATAATACATATTTTAACATATTTATGATGATTGTACAACCAACATAGTATATTGCTGTATTATGTGTTATGGTGTAAAATGTATATAAATGTATGTCTGTGACAAAGACAGTGTTGCTAAGCAAACATTCCCCATTTCTTCATATATTCCTGCCTAGTTTTGTTAAGGAAAGCAACATGACTATCTGGCATTGTCAGATGTTACCCATGTGCATAGCAATATTATTCATAATCACAGAAAAGTGGAAATAACCTAAATGCTCATCAGTGGGTGAATTAAAATGTGTTATAGTTACACAGTAGGATATTATTATAAAGAAGTCAGGTGTGGTGATGTACACCTTTAATCCTATTACTCAGAAACCAGAGGAGGTAGATCTCTGAGATCAAGGCCAGCCTAGTGTACATACACAGCAAGTTCCAGACTAGCTGAGAGACAGCTTCTGAGACCCTGTCTCAAACAAAACAAAACAAAACAAAAAAAGGAGTGAAACTTGCTACAATATGGATGAGCCTTGAGGACAGTATGCTAAGCGAAGTAAGCCAGTTACAAAAGGGAAAATACTGTGGAAGGAGAGTGGTTGCAGGCACCCAGAGGGAAGAAAAAATGGGGAATTACTGTAGCATAATGGACATAGGATTTCAGTTTTACAAGATGAAAACGTTCTGAAGATTCATTGTATAAAAGTGTTGATATACTTAATATTCCTGAACCATACAATTTAAAGATTACTAAAATGATAAAATATTATATGGACTTTGTAATATTTTTAAAAGCAACCCTCTTCTCCCCGTTCCCACCTGGACAACACAGAAACAAAACCAAACAAAAAAATATTTAAAGTTTAGTGTCTCAGGAAGTTTTGTTCTAGGCAAACATACAGTTAGTAACTTCGTAGAGAACTGCAATGTTGAGTATGGTTGTTTTATTTTAATATTACTTTTATTTTATGTGTATGAGTGTATTGCCTGCATGTATTGGAAACCAAATCCTGGTCCTCTGTAAGAACAGCCAGTGCTCTTAACTGCTAAGCCATCTTTCCAGTCCTTTTTGTTTGTTTGTTTTTGCTTTTTTTTTTTTTTTTAGACAGATATTCTTGTAGAGATTACAATATATATGAGAGTAAATTTAGAATATACTTTCAGTTCTTCCTCATTTTATTTTATTACTTTTTTAAATGTGTATGCATGTATTGCCTGTGTGTAGGTAAGTGCACCTGTGTTTTAGAAATTTTAAAGTAATTGACTTCACAAAAATACTCCTGAAGTAAAATTGTCATGTGCCACAAAAGCAACCAGTTGGAGTTCCTTCATAATGAGAATACTATGCAGGTATCAGTTTTGAAAGTGCATAATAAAGGTTATTTGTGACATAAAATAAATACATCTGGGCAAGGTTGATTATTAGATGTAGCAGCAGCCCTGTTCCCATTGGAGACAAGGTATAGTTGATAAGCTGATAAAGGAGTAAATGTCTTATGTTTGAAGGGTCTCCATTATATTAAGACAAAATGACAAGTCATGAGCTCTTAGAAAGTAGATGATGGGGGAGCGGTGCTGGAGCGATGGCTCAGCGGTTAAGAGCACCAGCTGTTCTTGCAGAGGACCCGGGTTCAATTCCCAGCACTCACATGGTGGCTAACAACCATCTGTAACTTCAGTTCCAGAGGAATCCAATACCCTCTTCTGACTCTGTGGGTATTGCAGGACACAGGTGCACTTACACACAGCCAGGTAATACATCATATACATAAAATTAAAAAATAAAATAATTTTTAAAAAAGAAAGTATGATGGACTGGAGAGATGACTCAGCAGTTAGGAGCACTGGCTGCTCTTGTAGAGGACTGGGGTTCAGTTCCCAGCAGCCATGTGACAGCTAGCAACCATCTGTAACTGCAGTTCCAGGGGATCCAGTACCCTCTTCTGGCCTCTGTGGACATTGTACACACATAGTTCACTTACATACATACAGGCATAACACTCACACACATTAAAATAAATTTAAAAATTTTTTAAAGAAAGTATATGATGAAATACATTGTGTAGCCATAGTTGCTAGTAAAAAGAAATTATTAATATATTGAAAGAATATAGCTATTAAAATTACAAGTTCTCTGGGTTTATTTTCCCTAAAGTCCTATCAAAAGCAATAATAGCTTACCAGAAATAATCTCTCCAGGAGGTCTTTTAAAATTTACACAATAGTTTATTCTTCAGGAAATGAAATATGCCCATTTTAGCTCTTGCAGCTAAGATACTGGTACATATTAAACTTTATTTCATGGAGGATTCCTTTCTTCTAACAGAGCTTAGTCAATGTTTTACTCACATGACTATATTTACTTTATTCATGGGAAGCATTTTATTTAACAATCAAACTTTTGTTCTATTTCCTTTAATCTAATACTATTCCTCATTTAAAGTAATTGTATTATTTAACATGTCTGAGATTGCTGATCTTTGTTGTTATCTTGAGACAGTTGGCAAGAGGGGCCCTCAGTTGAGGAACTGCTTCCATCAGATTGGCCTGTGGACATGTGTTGTGGGCATTTTCTCAACTGCTAATTGACCCAGGAGGACCCATGTCATTGTGGATGGTACCATCCCCAGGTAGGTGGGTCTGGGATTTATAAGAAAACTAGCCAACCACAAGCCAGAGAGCAGTTCCTCCATGGTTTCTGCTTCAGTGCCTGTCCTGACTTCCCACAATGATGGACTGTAATTTCTAAGCTGAAATAAGTCCTTTCCTTCTCTCAGCTGCTTTGGTCACAGTGCTTATCAGGGCACCACAAAACAAACTTTTGCTTTTAAAAGCTTTTACACTTTAATGTTGCCCAAAGTAGAGTCGGGGTTGGGGACTCCTTGGCTATATTGCAACTATGTAACTAAGCTTTCTTAGAGTTCAGAAATTTATAAAATATTCCTGGAGATATTTTTAGTATCCAGAGGATTTCAGTATATCTTAAAATGTTTCAAAGCAGAATCTGAAGCTCAACTGAACATTTGGTAAGGACCATCAGCATATTTAAAATTTTCTTATTGAATAAATATATTGAAATAATTTCTTCTTAATTTGATTGTTTCTATATTCAGTAATCATGTTCATAGTTTGACTCAGTGATACAAGCAGTATCTTAAAAATATAATATGAATTATCTAAAAAGTTAACATAAAAGCACATAATAAATTTTTGGTCTCTCCCCTACCCAATGCTAGGGACTGACCTATGGTTCTACCACTGAGTTAAATCCCAAACCTTGTATAATCTCATTGACACTATTAATAGTGAAAAATGGAATAAAAAACTGTTTCTGTGCTTTCCAATTTGGGATTTATTAGGGGGGACTTAAGATGCCTCTGTAGCATAGAATATGGTAATTGCAAATGAGTATGGGAAGAGTTTGTTCTTTTAGAGAAGTAGTAATGTTAAAGGGAAAAAAATGAATAGTTTAATTTGGTGCCTGTATGAAAATGTACATAGGATAAAAATTTTAAGAAGATATTAACAGAGACTTTTTACCAGGTAGAATCATAAGAAAATTTTCTGTGTTCTCTAAACTTCCCAGGATACTCTGTTATTAATATTCAGAATAATATTATTTAAGTTGTACCTGCTCTTTAGTTTAAATATCATATATCGTAGAAAAGAAGCAAGCATTTATGCTGAGTATTGCCTTAGATAGCAAAATGGCATGGGCTCACTAAGGCATTTTTATGCTTCATGGAATATCTTTGATATTTAGTTGACCCTTGGTTTCCTCAGAATGAAAAAAAAAGTGGCTTATAATTTGACCTTTTACTTTCTTTTCTTTCTTCTTATTGTGTTTTTCTTTGATCAACACTTTCCCACTGTCTCGTTCCTTTTTTCAGGTAATTGGTACTTGATTCTACAGGTCAGGAAGAATTAGGTGTGTATGTAATTCTCATTTTTGGTACTTTTCTGCCGAGGGTCGTTATGTGTACCTAATATTGCTGCAAATAAGAGAAGTTCTAGTATTTATTTCCAAATCTGTAGAGAGATTTGCCAACAGAAGCAAATTGTAGATTGGTTTGAAAAACACTCCTATGGTCATGTTGATCTTTGAAGTTTAAGAGCAGTATTTAAATGTTTCACTTTGCTTAGTTTTCTTTCTTTTGTATCTATGATCTCATCAGACCTCTGATGGGTATTCTTGATGTTCTTTTCTAAGGACACACAGTTATGCTGGCACTATGGGTAGAGATTATTTTTTTTTATTAAATGAATAAATGTAACCTTTTTTGTATTGATTCAGGAAACTAAAATAAAATGTTTCTTTAAGGAGTAAGTACAAAATTTCTGAAACACAGATGAAATTTGACTTCCTATATGTAATTCAGCAAAATGGAGAGAATGTGTGTTTCCTGATCAGTTTGTTGATAGTCAAGAGAGCCAGAGGAACCCCTAAGCTGGTTATTAAAGTGAAAAAAAATTCAACCCACAAAAAATTTTTTTTCCTGGTTCAACCCACAAAAATTTTAAGTTGCAAATAATTTAAATAACTTTAAATTCTAAGAATAGCAACAGTTGTCATATAAGCACCCAAGAGTAGCTTGAGTTTTACTTTCTATTTAGGATTTCATTTGACTGAGCCCTAACTCATTTTAGGACTGCTTTAATTTTCTCTCTGTTCTTTGTTAATTTTTATATTTATTATAGTTTATTAATCCTAATCATTACGCTTGAACACTTTTTGCTTTGGTGTACTTTAACATGTATATTATCTCAAAGTTTTCTTCATTATTAAAGAACGGCTGTGGTTATCATCATAAGTGAAAAACAAGGTTGTAAGTTGTAGAATATCCTGATACATGATCAATTTATATGCAGTCATAAATTATGTGGAAATATGTATTATTTCATTAGGATTTACCCAGTTAAGTTCTGTTCTCTGTTTCAGTTTTTCATGAAGATTGATTAACTCTACTGGATATGCTGCTGTTTTTTGCCTTGGGACTGCTCGTACATTTTGTGTTCTTTGCCTCTATCTTTGACATTTATTTTACGTCTCCATTGGTTCATGGAATGACACCTCAATTCACACCATTGCCTCCTCCAGCAAAAAGACTTGTATTATTTGTTGCTGATGGCCTAAGAGCAGATGCACTTTATGAATTAGATGAAGATGGAAAGTCTAGAGCACCATTTATTAGGTAAGGATGATACAGGGGTATGCCTTAGAATTATTATTCAAAGTTTTGAAAAGAAGGATTATATGATGTACTGTGAAAATCATCATACATTTAACATTTTTCAACAATTTTTACATTATTTATTTATTTATTAAGATAAGGCCTCACTATGTGGCTGTGACTGACCTAGAACTCACTGTGTAGACCATGCTGGCCTTTAATTCATAGAGAGCTTCTTGGATTAAAAGTATGTGCCTCCACGCCTGGCCTTTTTTTCATCTTTGAAAATATTTTCCTTCTTTCTGCCTCTCACATAGAACTGTGTATGTTTATATCTTATTTATTTTTTCCATGAACAATTTGAAAATAAGACAATGTGGTATTTCCTCCCAAAACTCTACAGCATGTGTTAAGAATAAACACTTTTCTTTTGTATAACCATATGCCATCCTCACATCAAATCAAATTTAACAATGTAATATTTTGTATGTCAGTTATTTCTATGTAAGAAAACGTGTCTGTGTTTGTGGCTTGAAGCACCAGCATATACTTGTTGTCATGATTCTTTATAGTGATTGGTTTCCTTGTTCATCTCACCTGGGAGCCTCATGCTACTGCTCTGAATTAACAGGCAGTCTAGCATTGGGCTCAACTGGGTTTTCAAAGGTTCCTTTTCCTCTTAGAATTTAACTTTTTGGTTTGATTCTTCCTGTAAAACTTTTTCTAAAGCTTTATGAGAGTATTTAATAATAGGGTGTGTTAACTATTTATCCCAATTATCTTTCAGAGATGTCATAATGCATGAAGGCAGCTGGGGAATATCTCATACACGTGTGCCAACAGAATCTCGGCCTGGTCATGTAGCCCTGATCGCCGGGTTTTATGAAGATGTCAGTGCAGTTGCCAAAGGTATTATGTTCTGAGACAATTTTATTAAATAAAATACTTGACGTATAAATATTCTTTCCCTAGCACTGAATAATGTCATAAGTTTCAAGCTGTTTTTTGAGATATTTTGACAAGTGTTTGAGCATTCTTACTCACAGGAACATGTTCTGGTATTGATTTTAAAATTAAGCTTTAGTCTGTTGTCATCCTGTGCTACTGAAAAAGTATAGTTGCATGGTTTTGATAGATGTTACCATCAGGAATTTAGAAGTGATCGTTTTAACAAGATGTGAATTATCTACTGTTACTTTTAAGAATCGTACATAACAAAAATCTATCATTTTTTAATGTTGCCTCCAATTACTATTTGAAGAATGCTTCCTGTGCTTACTTTATATACCTACTTTATCATTATTACTTGCTTTTTTTCCCTATTACCGAAAGGATGGAAGGAAAATCCTGTAGAGTTTGACTCTCTTTTTAATGAAAGCAAGTACACATGGAGCTGGGGAAGCCCAGATATCTTGCCTATGTTTGCCAAAGGTAAGAAAGAGTCTTTGATTGTGCTGCCTCATGTAGCAAATAGGTAATAAATAAATGTGTTTTTTAAAAGGCAGTATATATTTATTTTTATTATTGCAGTATTGGGGATTAGACTCAGCATCTCTTATATACTAGACCAGCCCTCAACCACTGAGTTATATCATGGCCCTTGTTTTATTTATGTATGTATGTATAGTGTGTGTGTGTGTGTGTGTGTGTGTGTACGTGCCATGGTGCTCACGTGAAGGTCAGAGGATGACCTGCAGGAGTTAGTACTCTCCTTCTACCATGTGGAGCCCAGGGATCAAACTCAGGTATCAGGCTTAGTGGCACGTACCATTACCCACTGAGCCATCTTGCCAACTGGATTGCTCTCTCCCTCCCTCTCAATCTCTGTCTCTGTTTCTCTCTCTCTGTACACACACACACACACACACACACACACACACACATGCACTTCCAGAAGTTTTTAACACTTCTGAAACAGTAGATGGAATTGTAATTTTAGTAAAGAGTCATTTTTCCTTCTTTACTATGTTTTAAATATTGCTATATCACACTGTTAGTACTTTGATTTCATTGAAATGAAATGACTACCACATAAACTTTATAAATTCAGCTTTAGCTTTCCTTTTTGTAAAATGTTTTTTAATAATTATTTGTATGGCATAAGTTTGTTTTTAGAATAAATTAGTTGATTCATGTGAAATATTTAGCAAAGTACTTATTATATAGATTCTTTATGGGGAGAATATTAATATGAAATTTAATATATTGAAATGCCGTATACAGTTCACTACATTATTCACACAAGTATTAGGGAATCTTTTGACTGGAAGAGTCACTTACTTTTAAAAATCAGTTGAGTGAATTTCTTGTCATTAAATGCCTTTTACTGATAGCAGAGTGATTGATCATCTCACTTAGTGGAAAAATTTTTAACATTATATTCAGCAATGGGGATAATTGGAACTACTGAAGATAATTATGTGTTCAGAAAGCAAAATATATATTCAAAATTTTATATATGATATTTATAGACTATTATACTGGACAGGCCCCAAAATCTGCTTGCCCTTTATATATTTCATTCTTTTGGAAGCTGTGAGGGCTGATTCCATTACTAACTATGGCTTATCAAATTAATCTTCCTATTTCCAGCTAAACTGATAAGACAGGCTCATGCCTGAATGAGACACAAACTAATATAAATGTTCCATTTTGTATGGGGGAAAGTAGAATGGCTGAGCAGAAAGAGCTGGATCACTAGACCTTTGTGGTGTTTTGTTACTTCATTCTATCCCTGTGAGGTACCGCTAAGAGTTTATCCCAGAATAAATTTATAAGATTATATATTTGTTCACCTCCATACTTAGCAATGAGCCGTATTTATTCCCTCACCCCCTACTTTTTGAGACAGGGTCTGGCTAGCTTCACACTCCCTAGTGTTAGGATTACAGGCACATACCATCATGCCAGGCTGTTTATCCCCTGATGTTGACAAAAATATACATAATTTATAAAGTAAGTGAAATATTTGAATTTTCTTCTTGCTATATGAAGATTTATCCTAGCCATCTTTATCTATTTTAAATTGCAACCTCTTAAGATGGACACATTTTTTGAATAGTTTAATCTTTAAATTTTGGTGCATATATATTGTATATTAGAATTTTGATTTTGGCAACTACAATTAAGTTACACGTAATGTATGTGTAAAATTAGAATATGTTATTCTCAGGACAAAAAGAATATGTTAAAATATATACTATTCATGGCACATAAGATAAATGTTATTCCTCCAATCTTTCCTATTTCTTTTAAAAAATATTTTATTATTTTTATTTTATGTGTATGAGTGTTGTCCTAGTTTGTTTCTTCATTGCTGGGACAAAATGCTCTAACCACTACCAACTTGGGGAGGAAAGGGTTTATTTGTCTTACATCTCCCAGGTCGCAGTTCATCAGGGAGCCCAAGGTAGGAACTCAGGGCAGGAACCTGGAGGCAGGATCTGGAGCACAGGCCATGGAAGAATGCTGGTTACTGGCTTGCTCCCTTGACCCCTCCTCAGCCTGCTTTCTTATGTCACACAGTCCCACCTTCCCAGGGGTGGCACCACCCACAGTGGGCTGGGCCCTCCCACATCACTCAACAGTCAAGAAGGTGCCACATGGACATGGCCACAGGCCAGTCCAATGAAGGCAATTCTCCAACTGATGCTCCCTCAACCCAGGTGTGTCAAGGTGACACTAAAGCTATCCAGCACAAGTGTACTACCTGCATGTATGTAAGTACACTCATGTTGTGCAATACCCGAGGAGGTCAGAAGATGGCATCGAATACCCCTGGAACTGGAGTTAGGGATGGTTGTTAGCTGCTAGGAATCAAAGGAGGGTCCTCTGCAAGAGCAGCCAGTGCTCTTAACCACTGAGCCATCTCTCCAGCCCCATCTTTCCTATTTCTATCATAAAGTACTTTGTAACTAATTCTGGTTACTTGTGAAATTCTTTTAATGGAGCCAGGTGTGGTGGGGCACAACTTTAGTCCTAGAACTCAGGAAGCTGAAGAAGGAGACTCATCTGAGCCCAAGAGTTCAAGACCAGCATGAGCAATGTAGCAAGACTGTTTTAAAACAAAACAAAACAAAAAATCTTTAAATGATTATCCCATGTTTTATGTAGCTTAAAAGATTTTCAGTTTATATTCTCCCAAATTTCCTTTTCAGGTGCTAGTGGTGACCATGTTTATACATATAGTTATGATGCTGAAAAAGAGGATTTTGGTGCCCATGATGCTACAAAACTGGATACCTGGGTCTTTGATAAAGTTCAGGTATGTATTATTTTGTTTTGTTTTGAAACAGGGTCTTACTCCGTAGCCCAGCCCACCATGGCCTTCAATTCTGGATCTTCTTAGTGTCTCAAGTGCTGAAAGACCTAATTTTTAAAAATTACACATTCTATAATAAATTTAAAAATATTCTTTTTCAAAATAATTCTGTAATAGTTTATGTTTTCTTGAGGTAAATTGAGTCCTAGATTAGGATTCACAAAAGCCTGAATTCCATTTCTAGTTTAGTGACTTATCACAGGGAAATACTCATCTTTTGTCGACGTTGGAGCTTTTGTCTTATAGTAGTAGACCATATGAGAGCATTTTGAAAAGTGATGTATGAACTGGCAGGATGGCTCAACAAGTAAAAGTGCTTGATGCCAAGCCTGATCACTTGAGTTTGATTCCCTGCACCGGTGATAGAAGGGGAGAACTGACTCCTGAAAAATCCGCTGACCTCCTCACATGCATATATGTACACACACATACACACACACACACACAATAACTGAATAAATGTTTAAAAATGCTGTTTCCGACGTAAAGAAAAACTTTTATAATAACAAAGTCGATGATGCTTTAGGAAATTATATTTTAAAGAAAATTAGATAAGTTAAAACATTAGCAAGTTAGTCATTATTAAATGTGTATGGGTTTCTTTAAGTAGTAGAATTTTAAGAACTAGTTGAAAGTGACAATTGTCAGGAACTCCTCTAGTAATATAATAGTATTTACGTTCTTAAAACTATATGAAGAACATCTGAAAATCTCCTTCCTGCAGGTCCTTTATTCCTTATGTCCAGATAGCAACTTAAAATTCATCTACTGTAAAGCACTCTCTTTAATTGGCCTTAATTGACCCTTCTTTTTCTTAGTACTGTCTTTTCCCCATCATGTGGTGATTTATGATAGTTTGTAAACATACTCCTCAGTTGATATCTGCATTTTTCTTTGCATTTATACCGAGTAGAAATTAAGTGCTTAGTAAATTCTTTGCTCAACACTGTTTCTTTTATGAGGGTTCTTTTCTCTTGAAATGATCTTTTCTATTTTCCTTTATTTCTTTTTCCCAACATACAGTTTTGTCAACAGAGAGAACACTCAAATTAAATATCTATAAGAAAATTATTAACATCTTCGCCTTTTAGATAGGTTTGTAATCCCACCTACTTGGAAGGCTGAGGTAGGAGGATCTCAAGTTCAAGGTCTGCCTGGATTGCAGTGTGTGAGTTCAAAGCTAGCCTGGACAATTTACCAAAACTCTGCCTCAGAATAAAAAGCAAATAAAAGGTTGGGGCTATAACTCAGTGGTAGAGTGCTTGCTTAGCATACTCCAGATTTGGGTCCAATCTCCAGCATCACAAAAACAAAAAGTACAGAAAGAAAATACCAAATTATTTTACTAATCACTTAATAATACAGTCTTTTATTAACATCTGCTTAAAAGTGCTTGGCTTCTAATTTCTATGAGTAGCTTAAATTTCTCAAAAATCATGAATTTGAATTATGAATGAGCCCACAGAACTGGTTACTCACTAGATTTTCATACCTTTTTTCTTTCTTCACTTTAACATTGCCAGAGTAGGCAGCCAGAATTGGTAAGGTTGAGGATGCTAATCAAGCCTCTTAAAGTACTCTATCCTCTTAGCATGAGTTTTATCTTCAGGTTAGCTCTTGATCCTAAGTAATTCTGGAGTTCCTGCCATCATTCCAGTGTTTGAGGGATAAAAAAAGTACATCATTTCCAACTATATTATGTTTATTTCAAAGAGCCTAAGAAGCACATACCTTTTATTTTTAATGAAATTATTATTATTATTATTTTGGTTTTGTAATGATAAATCTGGCTGTCTTGGAGCTCACTATGTAGACCTGACTTGTAGCTATCATTTGCTGCTACCTCCTGAGGGCTGAGATTATAGTTGTGTGCCACCATGATCAGCTCATATCGCTCTTTGAGTGAACTATTTGATTTTAATTTCATTGGTCACAACCACAAAGGCACGTCTGCCTGCAAGAAAATGTGAGAAACATGAATTTCAAATTTGGGGGATTGCTGTGTCCCCTAAGATCAAATGTTTTTACTCAAAGAGAAGGGAGGAATGCATTTTGAGCCACCTAAGCAGTCTTCCAGGATGTGTATTAAATTTGGGGAAGTTCAGAAATGAATGAATGTTTTGGATGCACAAAGACCCACTCAATGTGGAGGCCGATCATAAGTGCACTGAGTACTAGGGGGAAAGAAGTAAGGAGCACAGTTCACCTCTTGTATCCTGATCACCATTTTTGTTTGCTTGTGTTTTTGAGATGAGGCCTCATGTTGTAGCCTGTGCTGTCTTGGAACTTACCATGTAATCCAGGCTGACATCAAACTTGCTGCAGTTCTTCTACTTCAGCTTTTCAGCTGTGAGCCACCAGGGGCCTGGCTATTTTATTTATTTATTTACTTTTATGATTGAGGTGTTTTTTTTTTGTTATTTTTATCTTATGTGTATGTGTGTATTGCCTGCATGAGGTAGGTGCATCGTGTCGTGCAATACCCATGGAGGTCAGAAGAGGGCATTGGATTCCCCTGGAACTGGAGTTATGGACTGTTATCCTCCGTGTGGGTGCTGGGAATCCTACCCAGGTCTTCTGCAAGAGCAGCCAATGCTCTTAGCCACTGAGTCATCTCTCCAGCCTCTATGATTGAGATTTTAAAAGGCAGTGAGAATAGACAGGTTGAGCACTACCTGACTAGTACTTCATAGCTTCCCAGATCTTGTGCCCATAGCTGAATTTTTTGCTAGTCATGCGATAAATTATAGATTTAACTTGTTAAGTAGAATGTATGTAAAAGGTGGGGGACAGTTTTATATTTCTTGAATAATTTCTCTAATTATTCAACTTATACTTTTAAATATCTTAAATAATTTGTTTAAAATGCTTGTTGAAAAGTTAAACATCTCTTATTAAAAGTTAACATCTTTTAAAGCTATACACATTTATATAAACAATAATGATACATCTTAGCATAGCCTATTGACTTACTATAAAACACTCTCCATTGGTACTTGCATATGTGCTTATGTTTATGTATAAAAGGTGAATTATTTATCTCAGAAGGGCTTATGAATCCAGTTTGTTAATGTGAAATTAGTGAAATAACTTTGAACTGTATTTCACTAAGTAGACATTTTTCTACCACATAATGTGAAGAACAGATTCTAGTCATTGAAAAGGAGGTAGTTAGGAAATTATTCTGAGTGTTGTGAATGTTTGACTAAATGGTAGTACACAAGACAATGAAAAATGCCTCACTTCTGAGCATATTTAATATAATAAATCTCCTTAAATTGCTCTGTCATTACTGTTTTACAATTTGCTCTTTGTAAACTATTTCTTTAGTTGGCTGGTTTTTTTATTGTTATTACAGTAGATGTGTGGGAACAATGGTATGGAAATTAAGTTCTCTTTTGCACAACTTTTCTTCTTTTGCTTAATCATAGCAGAAAAGCTCACTGATTATTTAGACAGAGACGTCTAAATTGAAGAGATTTTTTTTTTTAATCTTTTTGAGACAGGGTCTCCCTGTAGCCCTAACTGGTGTGGAACTCACATTGTAGAACAAGCTGGCCTTGAACTCAGAGATCCACCTGCCTCTGCCTCCCAAGTGCTGGGATTAAAGGCATGAGCCACCACACCCGGCTTGAAAACAAAGATTTTATATTGATAGATCTTGAAGACAAATTGAAGCATTATAAGATGATTTAATTTTGTAATATTTATAAATTTAAAGAAAATAAATGAACTAATTATTAACTGATTTGTTACATACAGGACTTCTTTCATTCTGCCAGAAACAACCAGTCTTTGTTCTCTAAAGTAAATGAAGAAAAGGTTGTTTTTTTCTTACATTTATTAGGAATAGATACAAATGGCCATGCTCACCGACCATCATCAAGGTAATTTCACTGCTGTATTTAATTTGATTTGGGGTCAGGCAGGGGAACAATTCTTCTCTTTGAACTTTTAATGGATTATGAAATTTTCTTTGTAGTTATGATAATAGAGCTAATATTTTATGTAACTACTATAATATATAATATGCTTTCAGTTATATGAGGTATAATTTGATAATGGTTAAAATCACCTGTGCTTTGGCTGTACTACACATAAAAGTAATTGAACTAGATCTGTATGTATTCCATATTCTCCATTTATCAAGGCAGAGAAAAATGTCTAGAGTATAACATTTTAGGAATATTTTCAGTAAATACTGAAAGAAAATATTAATTTTTATAACATAGATGTACTTCCCTGTGTGTTCTATTTAATCAGTATTATGTCCAAGAAATACTTGCATGATGTTTTGTGTACTACCTTTCTGTAGTTCTCTTTATGTGTAATAGCAAGTGTTATTCTTACCTCTGAAGACCATAAGAAAGAGGAAGAAACCATTTATACTTTTGTTCTTTGTTTTTATGTTTATCTTTTTTTTTAATTTTAATTTTTTGAGATAGGGGAGCTATCTCATGTAGCTCTGGATTGCCTAGAACCAGCTATGTAGACCAGATTGGCCTCAAACTCAAAGAGATACACCTGCCTCTACTTCTCGAGTGTTGGGATTAAAGGCATGTGCCACCACGCCTAACCCTTTATTCTTTGAGTTTGGTTTATATTAACTGTAATGTCTATTGGTTTAATTACCAGTATTGAATATCTCATATTCCCCTTTTTTAATATGATGCACTGTTTTAATTAATGTAATATATTCATATTAAGCTATCTTTGTTCAACTCTATGGGAAATTTAATTATAACTTGTTATTAACATTGTAGTAGATTTTATATCATAAGTATTCTAAAAGATAAAAATATTTTATACTTGAAATAATGATACTTACCTATTAACTATTAAGATCACCAGAGCAGTATAGTTTACAAGAGTCATGAACTTGAAAGTTTTCATTATCTTGTATGGGACTTTAAATATTTTATTTATTATTTTTATCTTATATGTATGAGTGTATTGCCTGCATGTATGTGAGTGCACCCATGTCGTGCAGTGCCGCGGAGTTCAGAGGCCTTCAGATTCCCCTGGAACTGGAGTTAAGGACAGTTTGTAGCTGCCATGTGGGTGCTGGGAATTGAACCTGTGTCCTCTGCAAGAGCAGTTAGTGCTCTTAACCACTGAGCCATCTCTCTAGCCCTTGTATGGGACTTTAAAAAGTACTTATTAAAATATCTTGCTAATCATTACTCTTCTTTTAAAACATCTCTGAAAACTGTTTCTGGTTCTTTGGATTCTTTAGAGGAGAAAAAGTTAGTTCTACCCAGGGCTCTAATTTTAAAATAGTAAAGATTAAATTTAAAAGCATTTCTTTAGTTCTTGATTTTGAATATAATATGTCTGTGTTGAATAAATTTGATTTTTCTAAATTAATATAATGTGTTCTTTCGTTTCTTTATAAACAGGGAATATAAGGACAATATTAAAAAAGTTGATGGTGGAGTGAAAGAAATCGTGTCAACATTTAAGCATTTTTATGGAGATGATGGGAAAACAGCATTTATCTTTACTTCTGACCATGGAATGACAGACTGGGGTTAGTCTTCCTTTGAGTGATATCTACCTTACAATGAAAGTAATGGCAAATGGACTTGAAAATACTTTGTTCAGAAGATTAAATGTTTTCTTATATGTAAAGTGTCTGACTCATAATTGTATGCTTAAAATGTTGGTGCTAAAACAAACGACCCTCTATTAAAAGATTTTTTTTTCTAATTGTAAAGAAATGTTTCCATTTACAAATGAGAAAGTGGAAAAAAAAAAGAAAGCACTTTTATATTTTCTTTACAGTTTTTCTGTTAGAACAAACTTCTACCTAGAAGTCACTGTATGTGAAGTAAAGGAGTGATATTAGTTAAGATAGTAGTATTACTGAGGACTACTGAGCTACCTAGGACTACTTAAATTATGTTAGATAGGTCTGTGCTCCCTGTGAAATTCCCAAGGCAAATACCATTTGTATTCAGTGAACAGTATAATACAAAGATGAAATTTAGGGTCTCAGATCACAAGATGAAATTCTAATGAGCTGGGTTCCATTTTATAAAGGACTGCTTTTAGCTACACCACCTGTGGTATAAACGGATCCTGTGTTAGCTACTTTTGCCTGTGACCAAAATACTTGAGAACCAGTTAAGGAGGATATATTTATATTGGCTCACTGTTTCAGAGGATTTAGTGTGGTTACTTGGCTTGGCTAGACCTCCGTGTTGTCAGGAGTGTTTGACAGAGGAGATTCTTTACGTTGTAAAGCAAAGACAGAGAAATAGGAGGAGGACCAGGTTATTACCTTCAAAGGTACAGCCCCAGTGATGTACTTATTCCAGCATGGCCCCGCATCCTAACATTTCCACAGCCTCCCAAAATACTACCACCATCTGGGGACCAAGTATTTAACACCTGAGCCTGTATGTAACATTTTGTATTCAAACCATAGCATATCTATCTATCTATCTATCTATCTATCTATCTATCTATCTACCTACCTACCTACCTACCTACCTACCTACCTACCTATCTATCTATCTACCTACCTACCTATCTATCATCTATCATCTATCTGTCTATCATCTGTCTATCATCTGTCTGTCTTGCTTTATTCTCTAGAGGCCTGTCCTACTTGCTCCCAACTGGGAAGTTATTCCTGAGGAAACCTCTCCCTGTTCTTTCTGTCTCTGGTGCTAGTCTTGCCCCTTTCTGTAATGTTCCCTGAGCCTTGGCAGGGGTGATATGCCATATATGGCTGATGTGCCATATGTGACTGAGCATTCAGCAGTCACTCACTCTCATCCCTTTGACCAGTTAGGAATCTCTGCAGTTACCAGTTACCTCTGTCCACTGTAGGAAGAAGCTTTGACCAACGCTGACAGCAGCACTAATCTATGATCATAAACACAGTTATTTAGAAGATAATTTAATGGGCATATCATGTCCATTTAGCAAAACAGCAATGGTAGCATCACCACTTGGGCTTTTGACCTCTCTGGCCTACACCTACCTTTTTTAAAAAAAATTATTTATTTAATAACCATATAATTAGAAGAAGCTTTTCATTACAACAGCATTGACATGTTCAATAACAAATTCCAG